TATTTCCTTAAAGACTTATTATTTTTATAGTTAAACTGCCTATTTAATTTATTAATAATTATTATAATACTAAGACTAACTTAGAATAGCTTAAATAAGTATATATTATAAGGTATATAAGGGAATTATATATAGGGGGATATACCTGGATCCATTTATGAAAAGTCTATACGGATCGAATCGATCAGGGCGTTAGACATGTGTACATATGTTTGCATCTCCTCAGTGGACTATAACCCAACCCCCGTTCTTATGTTAATGATGGTCAAGCCTCGCCCTCAAGGAGCCAAGTCATCAACCGTTACATTGCATTGCAAAGCACACGGCACGGCACTTCACCGTCGGTCATGCAGTGGAGGTGTACGGATATTGTCTTGTGCGTTGCTCCCTTTGGACCATCCCGTCCGTTCCACCCGCCGACTTGTTAGTGCCACTGCGTCACGCTCTGCCGACTGATTTGCCACACTCAGTTCCTCCATCCCGTGCTCGAGCCTCACTGTCTTCACCCGACTTACCTAATTCTGATCTCAGCTCCAGTCTTCGGCGTTGTCCGAAACTTAGGTTATAGAGACCACCAGGAATTAGAAGAATTAACCAGTTTCTATTAATCTTATTAAAATCTCTAATAATATTTTTTATTTTATTTTTTTTAACTTAAAAATATATAAATTTAGTTAATTATTTTAATACTTTACCTAGAACAGAGTATTAATTATATTGCTTTACTCTTTACGGAGTACAGTCTCTTATTTTGACTTTCATAAGCCTTGCTCTTTTCCATTTCAGCCAGCCGCGTGCCTGAATCAGGGGACTTTTCCCAACTCTCTTGCGCGTGTCAGGTTATCAAGGGGCATGTCTGGCATGTCGTCGGTTATCGATGCTGCTTCGAAAGCGCCTTTCTCCGGCAAACGTTTGATGATGTTGTGATGCTTTGGGCCACTCATGGGCTTCCTGGATCATACTTCACAACGGCTCGTAGAGTTTATCTTGACGCCTCAGTCTATACAAGTAGGTACTAACTCAGTCACGAGGCGGTGCAGTCTACTAATTCTAAGATGAACAACAGTATTCCATTCGAAAGAAAGAAAGAAAGAAAGGAATTGGATACATGTGGTAGTACCTGTATGGATGGTAATATGTTTAAGCTGGACCCCTGTTCAACGATCAAGGTGAAGGAGTAGAGAAGAAGAAAGAAGAAGAAAAATTGCTTCTAAAAGCCTTCTTTTCTTGAACAGTAGTCCCTTACCCTTGACCACGGACAACTGGGCAAGTTTGTATATGTACGTACTGTATAGGTACGGTACGGACCCCATGTCAGCAGCATTCGTCCAGTCGTGGCGATGCGATGTGAGCAGGGGTACAGTACGTGAGGTGAGTGAAGCAGCTCCATTGTCCTAGGTTAGTACATAGTTAGTGGAGGCCTGCCCCAAGGCACTGGGGTAGTCCAAGTCCAACAGTGGCTTTGGGCTATAAGGGGCGCTAACTATTGGTTTCTGACAGGGCCCGGGCCCCAATATGGCCTTGTGGTGAGTGCTGAGTGGTCCCCTGCCCTTCCTTGCACCTTCCATTTCGTCGTCGTCGCCACCTCACCTCACCCGACCTCACCATTGTCGGTTTCCATTTACCTAAGGGCAAGGTCGGTCGGTATGTACAGTACATACATACCCAGGTCCAATGGGAGTGGCCTGTCTCGTCGCCCCCGGCCCCGCCCCTGGTTGTGCCTGTCATATGTTTGGCTCTCGTTGATCCCGTCATGCCAGGCTCGGTTTTTTTCTTCGCTGTAACTTGACTGGCGTCGCAACCGTAACAGGCACAGACAGGAGACTGTTCCTTCAAACACTCTGTGTTTCTACGTGCACTCCATCCACTATTGGCCGAATTGATTCTTACCTCTCATACAATAATCTCATTCAGTGAATAGTGAACGAGACCTGAAGCACATTGCCTCTCCTTCAATTCCGGGGGATCCCAGTGCCATTCTGCAGTACGGCAATTCTTTGGTCTTCCGATCGTTTGGTTTGGTTTGGTTTCGCTCCCTCCGCTTGGTACTGGCGTCAATTGACGTCGTCGTTGCTAGGTACACCCCCCTTTGGTTCTATCCGCCCTTCCCTTCCATCCCGGCCTCTTTCAGTTTCTTGTCCCTCATCTCCACATCAACCTCTCCACCCTAGGTTGTTTTCTGTCCCCGTCTGGCTCCTCACCCCTCACTAGTAGCTCAAGCTGTTCCAGAGAGAGACAGGGAAAAAAAAGAAGAAGAAAAAAACCAAGACCCAAGTGAAGACAAAAGAGAGAATTGGGGGGAAAAGGCAAATTCTCATCGGGAGTATTCTCTTTAAGACAAGCCCAGCCCCAGCCCCATTTGTCGCCCGCTCTGATCGCCTTCCTTTTTCTGGTGTATGTACAGTTTTGTTTCGCAGGTGACGACACACACGACACGACGTTATCGGCCTTTTCCTTATAACTCGTCACTCACATCGATATCGAGACGCACCCAGAGCACGCTCCTTTTTCGCCATTGATCTGATTCTCGGACGCGATACTCCCATAAGCACAATTAGCACATACCAGGCACCTGTCTTGTTTCAACTGTAAGCTCCTTTCCCCTCCTTTTCTTGACAAAGATCCCCAAAACCCAATACCACCAGACCAGACCAGACCAGACCAGACCAAACTAACAAGCCAGCCAACCAACCAGCAGATCTGCCGCCTCGACTGGGCTTTAGCGCTCCTCCAACGCCGCTCATACGCCCGCCGCGCCCACGGTCCCTCACTCGTCCTTTCACCTCCGCAGCCCACACAGCCTACTCTACTCTACTCTACAGTATAACTGGGGTCTCGACCTTTATTGCACTTTGGATCCCCCAGGTCCGCATTCCTACTGCTGTATTCAAAACCGCCTCTCGCCCAAAGCTCAATCACTCTTTCGCTCTAGACGTCCGCCTGTCTTCCCGATTAACTCACGGCCAGTTGCGCACCGTCGAACTCTCGTCGCCTTCGTCCGCCTCCTACTCCTGTTCTTCTCTGCCCGGCCTTCGCCAAGCCCTCTGGCACAGGTCACCATCCGCAATCCGTCTACGACAACATTCGCCGGCTCGCCGCTTCAACTACCCTCACATTCCAATCCTTTAGGGACCACCCAGCAACCTCGACGGCCTCGCGCCATCTCCACTTTGGGATTCATTGCCCTCGAAACGTCACATCTACAGCCTCTAGGCGGACTTTTTGTGATCACGTCCGATCGCCAATTACACCATCTGTCTTGTCTGTTGGGGCATTTCCGACTTTGGTTCCGTGTCTGCGATCCTGAACCCTCGATCTTGGCAATCTCTAAATCCCATCTCTCGCCTCCTGGTCTTCTTCATTGTGCACCCTGCCTGTCCACTCTGTGATTATCATCGACAAGTTCACAGGATAGTTTGTCTATTATAGCCTTATCGTTCCTGCGGTAGCCTACTTCTAGACCCGACGCCTCTTCCTTCTGTACCATATGAGCATCTGGGCCAGTCTTACTGCGTCAGATATACAGTCCCCACTTGGTGTCGCTATTATTACTTGACCTGGTCCTCTCCCTTGGAAACGCTTCAAGACCTGGTCTGTTTCCCTATTTGATCTTTTGACTACTCTACCACTCGGCCTGGGACGCACAGAAGCGTTCCTGACCATAGAATGATGGGCGTACCACGCTCGCGGAGGCAATCTATCGAATGCCACGGATGCAACATACCTCCGCCATCCCCCCAACCTTCTTCGGCCTTCGAGGACATCTTCGACGTCGATTCGCCTGTGTCGAGGCCTGTCAGCGAGGCCTTTATGTCTGGAACCTCCACACCAAACGGCACAATAGGTTCTCGACCACCATCTCTGACGGAAATTCTTCTCGATGTTGCGTCGCCACCATGGACCCTCAGCGCCTTCATGGCCTACCTCTCGCAAAACCACTGCATGGAGAGCCTCGAATTTACGCTTGATTCGCAACGGTACGCCGCCTTTTACAGCGAGATGATTACCAACAACCCGAACCGCACCCAAGAGACCAACGACCGTATCTGTATTTTGTGGGAAAAGCTTATGCAGGTTTACATCATTCCTTGTGCGCCTCGAGAGGTCAATCTCCCGGCCCGTATCCGTGATCAACTGCTCGGCCTTCCTTGCGGCCCAATCCCCCCTCACCCCGCACAGTTGGATGAGGCCGGCCGGATCCTCTATGAACTCATGAACGATTCTCTACTTTTACCTTTTCTCCAATCTGTCGCTCCCATGCAGCTTGATGGACCCGTCGACGAGCATGGACGCGGGTCTCGCCGTTCCTCAAACAGCAACACTCGAATGGGCGCGCCCGTCCGCTCATTGAACTCGATGCATCATACTGACCCCGAGTCCCTGACTGACGACAGTGACTGTAACTCGACTCCTGGTATGGAGCCCATGACTCCCCCCACCACACCGCCTACTTCTGAATGGGCTTTTACCACTTCCCCAGGGGGTCTTCAACGTGCTGTGGCTGCTCACAACAAGGGTTGGAAGAAGATGGGCGCCAAATTGGGGTTCAGTCGCAAGAGCTCACGAACACGCTCCGCCCCTACTTCATCGCATCCTCCTCCACCTGAGGGCTATCATATGCATCACGACTCCTTATGAGGGTCACAGGTCGTGTCATTGCCTGAATCATCCGACGAAGCCTATTGGACTCATGAGATTTCTCAAGAAGCTCTTCAGACCGAAGGCTCATATCATGGTCACCCACTGCATAGCAACTCGAATGCTGCGGATGATGGTTGGTACCACAACCCTGACCTCCAACAAGAAGGCGGTTTTGGCGATGGCACGGCCGCGAAATCTGACACCGCTCGATGCGGTGCGAAGGCGTCTTTCGTGCAAAGGGACATACGCATGAGAAGACGACAGAACAAGCCCCCGGAGCTTGTAACCAATATGCAGTCGGCGAGGCATAAGTCCACTGCTCAGTCCCAGCATGCTTCCGCCACACCTTTATATCGTCCTGATCTGCTTGCTCCACCAGTATTCTCCGACTATGCAGAAAACAACAACGTCGATAACACCTCGATGCCAATGACTGATGTGTCAAATTATCTGCCCACACCCACTACCAGCAACGAGGACATGAGGTGCCCATCGACAAGTTTAGAAACGGAAGCGTTTAGATACGCCTCTCCGATAGAGGACATGTATGGATGGGATGCGGAACTTGAGAGGCGTGAAGCTTCACCAAGCCGGGATTCGATTAGCTCCACTGAGGGTCTTGATGCCTTTGCTCTCAGCTACAGACGAGCCAACGGTAGCAAGCATAGCTTGCTGCAGCGAGTCTTCCGCGTTGGCTCTTCGTCATCTGTGGGCAAGATGGAAACAGCTGTCTGAGTGAGGTGCAGGGTTTACGTCAGCGTATCGGCCAGTTTTATTGTTTGATATTCATTATTACGACGTCCAGTTTGGCATTTTGCATACATGGGATTGCCACCGGCCATCACGACAACGGTGGCCGTGTACGGCAGGCAAGGCGTTAGTGGGTTTATCATTTGTTGTCTGATTTCAATTGCATCGCGAGTTGGGGTTTGGAAGGTCATTTTTATTCATTTGCAAGATTATTTGGCTTTGGGTGTACGCACTGGGCCACTCATCCAAAGGGTTTGGGTGATGAGACTGCATTTTCACGAGGCGATAAACGAACGACTGGACAGGTGGCAAAGAAAAAACAAAAGCCATGAGCGGCCCGGCCTGACGATGACGATTACGGCCTTTCGGTTTTGGTTGCGATTTTGGATTAATACGAATGGGTACAAAGAGAATAAAGAGAAGGACTCTTGTGTCTAGTTAGCCATGATACCCCATCCTTCCTCAACAGGAGGGAATCTAGACTTAATGTCTTAAAAAATATATATTACATTAACAAAACCTTGTCGTATTTACTCTTGTGTGGCTAATAAACATGAGATGCAATAGACTGTGCAGTATGACCCCCAAGACTGGCCCAACGCCATCAGTAGTAAGAATGTTACAATCACAGCAAATCCAGTTGAGCAAGCCCGGGATGGTAGTAAAGTTTCGGAATGTGAGGATCTGGAATGCCAGGCCGATCGATCATCAAGCCAAAAGTAAAAGGCAATCTTTGACTTTGAAAGCTGAGGTATTCGACTTTACATGCACAGGTCAAGTACACAGATCTGGCTGAATCAATACTTCTTGTATATATTGGTGCGTTGGCAACTTGGCTAACAAAAACGTAACTCATTAATCGTCAGGGGTTTCACTTTATCCTAGGACATACCTTTTATGATACTCCATTGTGGAAGCTATTGCTTGTGGAAGCTAGTAGAAACAAGCTTCCACGACCGACAGTCTTGTATGGAAAGCTCGATAGATGGCATTTAACATCTTCTTATTCTTGGGGATATCCCCAGTTGCCATCGCAAATTTTTGCTATCCACTGAGCTGCCACCCAGGACCATGCCACACAATTCTTTGGATACTTGGTGATCCAACATTAGTCGGTCGGCTTATCGTGGCGTGAATACATCTGCCATTCCAGCGAGCTGGCAAAGTCCAGCTTTCCTTGCTCAACTTGCTTACGCGTCACACCGAGCATGGGCTTCGGTAAACCCATAGACTCTAAGTAGGCAATAGCTAAATCTTTGTGTGAGTGCGGTAACCTTGTCATGGCAGATACAGATACAGACGGGATGGGAAATTGGTCTTAGTACGCACATTCTTTCCATTCGAGATCCTTTCGTTGACGACTCCAGTTGAGCTCTTCAGTCATGATGTCTATTACCTTGGGGAGAGCTTCGAGGGCGGCCTGTGCATTGAGAAAGGCCAGTCGCGTGCGTCGAGCGAGAACATCAACGGCCGTCTGTGCGTACTCGTGTCGAATAGCATATCGAATCTCGCCATCAACAAATGGATAGAGCTGGGAGATGCGTTCTCCGCGGGCGGGGAAGCGCTTGTCAGTCAGCTTGCAAAGCGAGGCAACAGTCCAGGCACGATCACCATAGGACTCGGTCAAGTGTTTGGCGACCTCAGTCTCAACCCCAAAGTGCTGGATAATAGGGATGAATAGTGTCGGGCTAAAGCCGTGAGCACCAAGTAAACGAACCTTGTGCGTCTGACATTTGCCATCCAATATTGCCCCATCGTCAATTAGATCGGTACCGCTGACACGAGGCGCATCTGTAACAGGCCGGGGCTCAAGGCGAAATTCTTGAATGGCAAAGTCAACGCACTCCTCTGCCATTTGCCTATAGGTTGTCCATTTCCCGCCTGCACAAGTCAACAATCCAGAAGCGGAGATATCAATCAGATGATTTCGAACAAGGGACTCGGTGTTCTTGGCTTTCGGGTCCTTGACGAGCGGGCGAATACCGGACCAGGCAGCGAGGACATCACCTCTGCGAACATTTATCTCTGGGGAAAGATAGTGGCTGACTTCGCCCAGGATCCACTCGATAGACTTCTCATCGGGGAGAGGATTTGGTGAGATAGTCGAAGGGGAATCGGTGGTGCCTGCGATAGTGTTGCCTTGCCATGGGAGGAAGAAGATGACCCGGCCGTCAGACGTCGACGGATCGATCAATCCCATTTTTCCTGGACTGAAATAGCCAGGGAGGATGATGTGAACGCCAGACGCTGGGGCCACAATTTCCTTGCAGCATGGATCGTCCATTTTTCGAACAGAGTCAGTAAAAGGCCCCGTACAGTTGATGACACTCTTTGCACGAACAGTTATGGGCTTGGCTGGTTGACCATCCTTTACGGAAACAAGATCCTTGACTATGGCGCCGCAAAGGTTTCCGTCGCCATTCTTTACGAGTCCTGTGACCTCAGCATGGTTGACAACAGTTGCGCCATAGAGGGCAGCGGTCATTGCGATAGAAACATTCATGCGCGAATCGTTATGTGCACCGTCGTAGTACACGAGAGCACCGACAAGATCTGTAGGTTTAAGCATGGGGAAGGCCTCAAGTGCCTTACTTCGAGTCAGAAAGTAAGACCCTTCAATGCCTTCACTGCCGGCAAGAAAGTCATAGAACTTAGTACCGGCCCAGTAATAGGGAGCTTTCCACCACTTATCGAGGGGCAGCATAATGGGTAGCCAGGAACTCAGATGAGGTGCCGTCTGTAGGAAGTACTTGCGCTCCTTTAGGGCCTCCTTGACGAGCAAGTACTGATTATAATCCAAGTTCCAGACGGCTTTCTCGAGATAGCGGACACCTCCATGAACCAGCTTGGTACTCTTGCTGCTCGTGCCGCTGCTGAAATCGTCACGTTCGACGACAGCTACTTTGAGGCCACGAGTAGCAGCGTCGAGGGCGACACCAGCACCAGTGGCACCACCCCCAATGACAAGTATGTCATATTGCTGGACTTGAGGCCGTGAGCTCCCTCGGAGTTGGTCTAGCTGCTCTTCGCGTGTTCTGGCTTGAGGAAAACGAGGAAGCTTGAAAGTGCCATCAGCACCAAAGGCTGGAGGCGGAACTGCGGGTGATGTATGGCCAGTGAAATCACGGGGACGATAGCTATAGATGAGAACAGCTGCGGATGTAGTGGCAACGCCTGGCAGCCAGAGCCGACGAATAAGTCCTATGGGGATGCCTGCGAAGGCGGGCATTTGTGGCAATAGTACAAGCTTCAGCCGTAGTCTATTCAGAGACTTGGTGCGATATGGCGATGAAGAAGCTGTGTGGTATCTAGATTAAAACCATATGCGAAGTTGTGTGTCTGTAAGAATGAAAGAAGGAGAAGATAGATAGACAGATACAGAGAGAGCAGAGGGAAAGTGAGAGAGGGGGAGGTCCTCACCTCCATATGACGAAACCTCCCTTTCCTTGAGTCTGCCCTGGGGCTTGGAGTTGGATTTGGGGTAAGCGCGACTATAGCACGTTATTAAAGCTGATCAGAGTTAGGTTAGTACCTTAGGTACTACCTAAGTTTAGTAGTTACTGTTGAAGGTGCCTGAGGCACCTACCTTGTATATTAGCCGGACCTCCTGGCCCAAGACCTTAGTTAGCTACAGTTAATATATATATATCCCTCTTAACAGGTTATAAGCCCCTTATATATATATCTACTATACAATTAGAGGGATTTTGGCTATTACTATTAAATTTAAAAGGCAAAAATACCCTATTATAGAAATTAAGCTGCTAAAAAACCCTTTATAGGGAAAAAATTAAGTACTTAAAGTGCTTTATATCTCTTAAAAGTAATAAAAACTAGTATTATCTAGGCTAATAATATCTTAATTTACTAAAAAATAAAATTATAATTAATTAAGTTTAATAATAAACCTATAAATATTTATTA